AATGGAGAAGAGGCTCAATGTGGGTGTGTGGCCATTCAGGGAATAATATGCAGTGCCTGAGGGGGGGGGATAGAGGGATGGGGCAGAGTGGGTGGTAATGGAGGGGGTGGGAGCATGGGGAGAAATGACCAAGCATTGTATGCACATATGAATAACAAAACAATAATAATAAAAAATTAGTAGTTTCAAAGTTTCAGGTCTTATATTATGGTATTTGGTTTAATTTCAGTTTTTTTTTACAAGTTGAGGATATGGATCTAGTTTCTATTTTTCAATGTGACTATCCAGTTTTCCCAGCTATACTTCCTAAACAGGCTGTCTTTCATTCAATGTATGTTTGGCACTTTTGATAAGTTCAACATGAGTGCAGATTTGTAGACTTACTTGTGGATCCTCTAGTCTATTGAATTGGTCTATATCTCTGATTATCTACCAGTACCATTTTGATTTTATTATTGCTCTGTTGTCTCATTTGATTTCAGGTATTGTGCTACCTGCAGAATTGCCCATTTTGTTCATTCTTGCTTTGACTATTCAATGTATTTTTTTGTTTCCTTATGAATTTTAGGATTTCTTTTTTCTATTTCTGTGAAGAATAACTAAAAGTTTGCTAGGAATTGAATTAAATCTCGAGATCACTTTCAAGAATATAGATATTTTAACAATCTTTGATTTCATTGATTTGGTCCATCTATTACTTTAATTTTGTTAGTCTGATTAAAGGTTTATCTATCATTGTAAATTTTTTAAGTAGTCAACTTTTAGTTTCAATAATCTTTTACATTGTCTTTCAGGTACTATTTTATTGATTTGAGCTCCAAATTTATGATTTCTTTATATCGATAAGTAGTGGAAGTGTCTTCTTATCCCTTTCCTAAGTCTTAGAACTGTATCATTAGATTATGTATTACAGCTCTCTTTGATTATTTTAATGCAAATGTTCATAGCTATGTATTTGTCTCTTAGAACAACTTTGACAGTGAAACACGGACTTGAGTAATTTTGTGTGTATTTTCATATGGCTCTAGGAATTTTTTAATTTCCCTCCTGATTTCTTCAATGATCCATAGGTCATTTCAAAGCACATTGTTCAATCTCCACTTGTTTGTAGTTATTCTTTAGTATCCCTAGTATGAATGCATTGTTTTCTGAAGAGATAACCAAGCATCTGATTGCTGAAGTCTGTTTAAAAATTTTTGACTGCATTATCTATCAATTGATAGATTGATAGATAGTTGATGAGAGGTGGATATTAAAATGATCCACTAATATTTTATGTTGACATATATATCCCTCTAGGTCCAATACAGTTTATTTTCTTAAATTTTGTTTTATCATTTTTACAACTAGTTACATGTGTACACATTATTTGTGTCACTTCTTCTTCTGGTGAGAAATTCTTCCACCCTCTTGCTCTCTTTGTTGAAGAGAAATCATAAGAGATAAAAAGAAATCCGTTGCTTTGCTAGATTGAGATAAAGACATCTATACAGAGAGATTCCTTGTGTGGTTACTTGGTACATGTGTATTACAACCCACTATGGTTCATCTCTACGAGATCTCTTCACTGCTTCCTAGTCCCCTTTCCGTAAGGGACTCTGCCAGATTAAGATTACTGTAACCACTTCTACACAGTGAGCACATCAACCACATTTAAGTTTTAGGTTTCCTTCCCTTTCCTTACTTGTCCCGTGCATGTTCTGCCCTTAATGTGTGATCCATGTCCAATAATATTGGTGCATTTGTTTTACGTCTGCTATCCACATATGAGGGAGAACTAGAGATTTTTCATCTTCTGAGCCTGGCTAACTTTGCTTAATATGATGTTCTCCTGTTCCATCCATTTACGAGAGAATGACAAAATTTCATTTTTTGTGGCTGAATATAATTCTGTTGTACATAAATACCACATGTTCATAATACATTCATCACTAGTAGGGCCTATTTGATTTTTCCACAGCTTGGCTATTGTGAATAGTGCTGCAAAAAACATGGGAGAACTAGAGATTTTTCATCTTCTCCATTTACGAGAGAATGACAAAATTTTCATTTTTTGTGGCTGAATATAATTCTGTTGTACATAAATACCACATGTTCATAATACATTCATCACTAGTAGGGCCTATTTGATTTTTCCACAGCTTGGCTATTGTGAATAGTGCTGCAAAAAACATGGGTGTGCAGGTGCCTTTGTAACAAACTGAGTCCTATATATATATATCTATATCTATATATATATCCCTAAGATATATATATATATATAGATATATATCTATAGATATATATATCCCTAAGAGTCATATTGATAGATCATTTGGCAAATCTGTGTGTTTTTTTTAAGAACCCTCCCATGTTGTTTTCCACAGAGGCTATACTAGCTTACATTACCACCATCAGTGTACGAGGATTTCTTTAACCCTGCATCCTCGCCAACATTTGATAATGTTGGTATTCTTAATGGTAGCAAATCTAACAGGAGTGAGGTGGAATCTTTGTGTGGTTTTGATTTCCATTTCCTTTATGACCAGGCAGGGTTAATAATTTTCATGAATGTTTTTGAAATTTGGTCTTGTTCTTTTGATAAACTTCTGTTTTGTTCAGTTGCCCACTTCTTCATTAGTTCATTGATTTTGGGGGAATTTAGTTTTTTGATGTCCCTGTATATTCTGGTTATCAGTACCTTGTCTGATCTATAGCTACCAAAGATTTTCTCTCATTCTGTGGGCGTTCTCTTCAATTTAGAGACCATTTGTTTTGTTTTACAGAAACTTTTTGGTTTTATGTAGTCACATTTGTCAATCCTTTCTCTTATTTGCTGGGCTGCAGGAGTTCTACTGAGGAAGTCCTATTGCTTCCAGTGCAGTACAGTGTATTTTATAAAATTGGGAGCACCCACTGATTGCTTAAAAAGTATCTTCAATCATCTTATAAAACTCATGAATTGTTTCCTTTGTTAATATTTATTAATAATCTTCATCTCTTCTTACTAATTTTAAGTTGAAATCTCCTTTATCAGACATTTGTACAGACACACAAGAATGTCTTAAGATTCTATTCATTTGAAATATCATTTTCCATCCTTTCACTTTCAGGTGCCTTGACCATGAGATGTGTTTCAAGCAACCAGTGAACAATTAGATCACTTATTATTCAACAAATCAGTCAGCAGAGCTGTGGTCTGAATGCTCTTATCCTATTCTACTCTAAGTCTTTCCAGTTTGTCTTCACCAGTATGCCCCTTCTCCAAAAGCTCTTTCTTATCTAACAACATGTTATCTGCTTCTCTGATCCTCCATCTTCAAAATGACTTTTGTAGAGAGAATTTATCCAACGGAGCAAGTAAACTCATCTCTCATATAAATTGTTTGATAGAATAATTGTTAAAAACTGTAGAGAAAGTTTTTTTAAAGTTTAGAATTTAAAAATAATATAAACTTGCATGTTTATAATATATGTACATATCTATATGCAAACATAAATATAGGCATACTTATTTACCATATGAAAGAGAGAGAGAAACATTCTCTAAGGGGTTTACTTGCTTCTTTTCAGGTGCTCTTTTAAAGTGTGAGAATCTGATTCAGATTATCTGAAAGCATCTCAAGTACCAGTATGCTATTGGAATGGAAATCAAGGAGGAGCTGAAACAAAATATTTTATATATCCTATTAATGATTATTTTTACCTATCAACTGAAGGCACTAAAGGAACCATATGCTCAGGGGATCACTTTATGCAGCTACTTGGCCTGATTACACACTGCAGGTTCTGTACTCTACATCACGTGTAACTTTCAGGAGTGCATTGTGCACACCGCTGTGTCCTGGTCATCTATGGGAAGTCCACGGATTCCACCTGATGTTTTCTCTCTACAATCAGGAACAGCCTCCAGATTTGCCAGGAGACACTTTGAGAGCCTGGCAGGGACCTCCATTAAATTAGTTTCTTCAGAGTAGCTAACAAACAGAATAAATCTCAGTCTGTGATTTTGTATGATGTTTGGGTTAATTTCTAACCATAATCACGTTATATTTTTGTATCAATTACAATAGTTGTTTAAGTTACAAAATAGAAAGCTGGAATTTTTGAAAGATACATGAAAGCAACCAACTATATGTACACATAAATGAAGTACCTATATAATGTTTCCTTTTCTTCTAATGGTACATTGACTCAACGTAACAAGGTGCAATATATTTTTCCTAGGAGCAAAGGGGAATAAATCCAATGAGTTTTCCCCAAACTGTTAAATGTCACTTGCTCAGTACAGCACTCAAGTCAACAGTTATCTGCTCATATCTATGTCTAACCTGTGCTCTGCTCATTTGTGCATATCCTGCAGCCAGTGACTAAACATCTTGTAGGAATGTCTAGAAGCCAGTTCTTCATGAGACTTTTCTTGTAGTGAAAATATTCGTATGATCCTTTGACACCACGCTTTAAAAACTTGTTTGTAGAAATTCCTTCCATATTTTATACGAAAGTTTTAGATTGCATCATTATTCTTGAATCAGTTTGATATGTTATCTCGACTGCATTTTATACACAAACCGTAAAAGTATAGTGTTTCCCAAATATGAATGCCAACAAAATTCCTTCAAAAAACTTAATACAGATTCTTATGTACAAGCACAACTTTCTGATTCAGTAAGTGAGCTAGGAAACTGCCTCTCTATGAGTTGAAATTTCTATTTCAAAGAGAAATTAAGTATTAATATGATCTTCACATTCACATTAATGAATGAGCATGTATGTTACTAGGTTTTGAATAAGAACAGTCTTAAAGTTAGAGGAGAGGATCTCTGAGTCTCATTATTGGTTTGCATTTTTGGAGGGAGGTGTGCTCCATTCCATTATCAAAAGCAGAGAGGGGAGCACACAATTGGAGGAGCTACACTGAGAGATGGATCTGTCCAGGGAGAGACAAATGTGCGGCATGGCACAAATTCTGGAATGGACACTGCTCTGGATCCTCATTACCTATCATGGAATTGACCATCTCACACCCTCACCTTCCCTTCTGCATGGTTGTACTGATCCATTCTGAGAATATGAACAAGTTTTTGTATCACTACCCCAGGTGTTTGGATCACTGTGTAAATGCCACTTCCCATACACAGTGCACAGTAATAATCAGCTTCATCCTCCATTTGAGCTCCTGTGATTGTGAGGGAGGCTTTATTCCCTGTGATGGCACCAGAGAAGAAATCAGGGACCCCAGAGAGGTGGTTGTTGGTGCTATAGATAAGCATGTAAGGAGCTTGGCCAGGGATCTCCTTAAACAAATTGGGGTAGTAAATTGTAGACACTGATCCAGAATTAAGGCCACAGGTGAGTGTTACTGTCCCTCCTGGAGCAACAGGCAATGATGGCTCCTGGGTCACCACAGTCTGAGAATTCACCCCTAAAAAGACAAGAGAGACAGTTATTGATATACAGAGAAGTATCACCTTGACATGATGCTTTTATGGGATCTCCTCAAGATTGTGAGTCCCACTGACCTGATCCATAAGTGAGGAGAGCAAGAAGAAACATTATTCTGGCCATGGTGGGAACCTTAACAAGTACCAGGTGTTCTCAAACCCCTCAGGTTGAGTTTGATGTTCTCAAGGCCTTTTCAGGGCTCCTCAAACACATTGAAGGTTCTTCATGCAAATCAGCTTCCTCTCTCTTTCTGCACTGATGTTCAACCTGATGTTCCAAGGGAGAGATCTTGAAGACTCAGAGGGTAGAACATTGCAGACCACTTTCTACAAGGGGACATAGACATTAAGATGGGGGTTGATGCCTTTCACCAAATCAGCTGCTTCATACCCCTATTGATCTCAGGGCCAATCCATTCTCTGTAAGGCCTACTGGTATTAGTATTAGAAAAAGTACACTATCCATATCATATCCTGTTCATCTACTTTATAACAAGCTCAGTACCCTGATGGTGAACTTTTCTTACCCCAAGAGAAATGAATGCTGTTCCTATTTGGAGGTGACTTACAGGATCCTCTTTCTCCACAGAGACCCCATGTGAACCCTAAAGAGCAAGGCTGGAGACTCTCACCCTATCTCCTATTTACTCAGGCTTGCAAAGTGTCTTAATTAGCTCCAGTATGGGCGCAAGGCTGGGTATAGACAGATAGAACAGCACTACAAGGCTTCCAGTGATGGCTGCCTCTGCTCTAAGAAGACATGGATTATGTGGATGGGATTAAGGTGAACTACAGATTGTTAATAGGATGATAATGTGATCACCATGAAATTAGAGATTCCTCCCAACATCAAATGTAATAGCAAAGAAAAACATGTGTCTTATGATAAGAAGAAAAAATAAGAGTATTTCTGAACAAATTAGTGTCTATCCTAGAGCATTTTCAAACACCCTTTAATTCACCAGTTCCCTAAGCTGTATATCAGGAAGGACAGTCAGGGCGATATATATGTTAAGAATTATCTCATATCACAAATATTTACTTTAGCATATGTTTTGGGCAATTATTAAAAGTATCTGCTACAGTATATATACATGAATTATTTGTGTTTGTATGTTGGTTCCTGTGTTTGTCATCTCTAACCGTGCATGTACATAGGTGTATGTATAATACAATAGCTAAGGTGGATGCTACAAAAAGCAACATAGAGAGAAACAAAAATGGTAATTGGAAAGAAACCTTAGCAATATTACTTTGCACTACTCAATGTAAAACCCTTTAAATTAAATGACAAATAAAATACAGATAAGACTCGTAGTCTGGATAAAAGAGAAATAAAATGTTAAACTATGTATCACATTTTTCATAGACAATAAACTAGGAATTCATAGTAACCAACAGGTAATTGTGAGTCTTAGAGAGCCTTGGGCAACCTCTGCAAAATTCTCACACATCCTCAAGGCACAATGAATCAGAACAATTACAATTCTGGGAGAATTATCATGGCAGAGAGGAGCTGGAAGTGAGTGAAATGACTGAGAATCTGGATATGGTGAATATCTTAGAGTACTAGCATCCACTTGACCCAGGTAATAGGTTTCAATGACCGTGCTGCTGGATGCTGCCCACTCTGGGATGCATTAGTGATGAATCTCACTCCAGTGAGTTCAGGGACTACATCATTCTCTCCAACCTGCTTCAAGTCCCATGCGGAAACTGTTCTTGATTGTGAAATGTGACACTTGCCTCAGCACCTTTATACCAGCCTGTACTTCAAAGTCCATGTTCACCATCCTCAAAAAATCCCAAGAATAATCCTGTTTTCTGTCCAAATTTCCCTAGTGATCAAGGCACGTAGTTTTCACTATAGTATAGATTCTAATTCCTAATAAACTGCTATACTCTTGGTGTAATTTTTGTCTTTTCCAAAGGTCCATACATAAAGGCTTTGTCCCAAGGAACTTGGTATTGGAAGACACTGTGGTCTGCTCAATTGTGGAACCTAGTGAGAAGTCTTTCATCTACTGGAGATGTGTCCACAAAGAGGACTGTTACATGCCAATGGTTCTCTCTCTTTCGCTCTGCTGCTTTTGTGTTATTGTGACACAAAGACCACTAATACTTCTATTGAGGTAATTTTGGGTTTTTGAACCTAAATTATTATTTTTAGTGACAAACTTATTTTTTGTGTGTGCTTATTTTTCTTTTTCTATTCTAAAATATTAAATTTTTATTTCTTTACTGAGAGTACATTGTGACATTTACAAAAGTTCTTACAATATATCACAGTTGAATTCATTTCCTCCATTACTCTTGTTTATCACTCATCTCCCCATTCCTGGAATAGTTTTGAACTCAGGGGCTCACACTTGCAAGTCAAGGGGTATACCATTTGAGCCATTTCCCCCAGCTCTTTTTTAAATCTTTTTTTTGAGATTGGATCTCCTTAACCTTTCCCAGATCATGGATAACAGCGGATCTTTCTGACTCCACATCTCTAGTAGCTGGGATTGCAGTTATGTGCCACTATGCCCAGTTACAGCCTTGCTTAAGGAACCCAGATTCTTTAATCCCTAGTCCAGTTCCTCACGATAACACACTGCATTCAATAAGATTCTCTGTCAGCTGAAAAAGAATTTTTTAGTGCATTAGAAAAACTTAATTTTTTATAGTTTTTTAATAGGATATAATCATTATACAGTGGAGGATTCATAGTGGCAAGTCCAGTGAGACATATTGTACATGAGTTGCATTTCCTGTCTCTCCCCCTCAATCTCCTCCCTGCCCGACTTAAAGCAGTTGCAAGAGGTTTCCTAGTTCTATTTCATGTAGGTATATGAAGTCCATCAACCACATACAATCACCTTAAATTCCTTTATTCAACCTTCCCCCTCCCAATAGTACATTCTACACACTGTACCAATTTACAGTGAGGATACATTGAAAAACTCTTTTGAACATGAACTTAAACATTAATAATGTAAAACAGGTCTTTAAAATTAAGCCTATATTAATTGCGCTTTCTGAGGTTTTTTGTTTTGTTTGTTTTGTTTTTTGGGTAGTGGGCCTTCTGCTTCCTTAATTTTCTATTATTAGTCCCCAAGCAAACAGTGTTCCTGCTTAAGGTTCTTCAAGTAAATTAACTCCTTCTGTTTGGCTGTTCTCTGCCTGCCTATCAGTCCTGAACAATCACTAGATGAGGGAGAGACAGTGGAATAGGAAGCAAGGGTGAAAGTCAGAGGTCAGTGATCATGTAACTGCTGGGGACACACGTGCAGGAAAGTCTCACTTCAATGGAGTCACGCTGGTTGGAGTATGTAAAAAGCCAGTTGAGTGCATTCTTCTGTCTCCTGGCCCAGAGCTCTATCTTCTCAGGACCAATCCATCAGCGCCCTCTGCCGACCACAGATTCTGGGTTTTCAACCCCTCTCATATCCAGTGTTCAGGGAAAGGCATTCTGATTATGGAAAACGATCTTTCTGACATCATTTCCCTATACAGAACAAAGAGTCATCTTTTCCACACTTGCTATTTGGTCCTGAAATACCAATCTTTTCAGGACTTTCATGACACAGTGCTTATGGTGCTACATTTCAGGGTTACCTGGCTATTGAGTTTGATTCCAACAGTTGCCTATGGCCTTTGGAAATCTTGTTTCAAAATTTAAACTTCAGCTAAAGATACAGTGATCTTTACCTGGTAATAATTCTGTCTAAAATGCTCTTACACATTGACATATTTTTGGATGGTGGTGTTGGAAGAATCTCTTACTGTCTTCTTCTTCACCTCACTATGCTTGCCTTAATTTTTGATGCCTGTCTTCTTCATGAAAATATGTTATTAGGGAAATATTCTTTCCATTCTGTCCTGCTTCCCTGAGTTCAAAATTTCCATGGATATAAATCTAACAATAATTATTTCATGTAGACTCTGATATTTTAATGTTACTTTAGCCTAGTTTCATATTTTTCAATACTATATTTGATATGAAAAAGTAGTAGTATAAATGGGACCTCTTTCACTTGTATTCATTTTCCCATTACTTTGAACTAAGACATCATCATGATGTGTATCTCATTTGGATGATGGCTTAATGAGTTTTGTTTATTAAGAACTCCATGGATTTAATAGCAGTTAGCTTTACAATATTTATGTCCAAAAGCACTGACATTTACCCAACATCATTCCAACTGAATGACAAAGGAAGGAAAAAAAAAACTGGAACTTTTGAGTAAAATGAGAACATGAGGGGTCTCAGAGCTTTGTTCTTGTTGGGGAGGGTTTACCCTGAACCTTGGACTAGAGGATGCTCTCTAGGTAGCCAAAATCTGAGCTTGAGTTTGTCATGGGCAGAGACACAGCAATGATGCCTCAGACAGATGAATGAAGATTTTTATTTGAGTTCACCTTAGAATGGTGGTATTCTGTGGCTGTTGGGATGTAGCCTACTGTATGACAGTGTTATTCGGCCTCACTTTTGTTTGGAGCCTAGAGGAAGTAAAAGAAGACATTTTGACAAACGTAGATGCTTTGATGAGGACTGAATACTTAATGGCCAGTCACTAATGTCTGAGTTCATAGGCTTAGGTTTCTTCCAGGATGTCCATTGTACCAGTCCCTTTTATAACCTACAATGTTTCTGCTTCTTCCTGTGTAGAAGAAATACACCTCAAATCTTGCATATCATGTGATTCACAGTGACAGTTACACATGCAGTTACCATGAAATTTCTGCTTATTGAAGTCTTTAAGACTCAGTCATACACCATGGATTTTTGGAATTCTCTAGAGACTAGTTAGAGGATTGCATGGGACTAGTCAGTTGCTATGATTTCAGGAACCAAGAAAAATCCCTATTATGGTAAGTAATATCATCTCGAGGAACTGACAATTTTGGGACCTACTTTATCTAACATCTCAGGAGAAGTTTCAACACTTTGTCATCATGGTGGACTTTTCCTTCATTGGCTCACACACTCAAAAATTGTTCTGGTTTCTGTCTAAGCTCCCACCTCTACACAGGTAACCCCTTCTGCTTGATATCATAATTTGAAGGAGCAGGAAAACAACAGGTGAGCCATAACTGCCTCAGACCAGGAATAAAGCTGATTTCTTTTTTCTTCCCAAA